AGGACCTTGTGAAGATGCTGGAGGAAACAGGTACAAAATTATCTATATCCACAGTAAAACAAGTCCTATATCGACATAACCTGAAAGGCCGCTCAGCAAGGAAGAACCCACTGCTCCAAAACCGCCATAAAAAAGCCAGACTACGGTTTGCAACTGCACATGGGGACAAAGATCGTACTTTTTGGAGAAATGTCCTCTGGTCTGATTAAATAAAAATAGAACTGTTTGGCCATAATGACCATCGTTATGTTTTGAGGAAAAAGGGGGCTGCTTTCAAGCCGAAGAACACCATCCCAACCGTGAAGCACGGGGGTGGCAGCATCATGCTGTGGGGGTGCTTTGCTGCAGGAGGGACTGGTGCACATCACAAAATAGATGGCATTACATTTACATTTACGTCATTTAGCAGACGCTCTTATCCAGAGCGACTTACAAATTGGTGCATTCACCTTATAGCCAGTGGGATAATGTCACGTTCGTTGAATGACGGGTCAGACCAAGGCGCAGCGTGATATGCGTACATGTTTATTAAACTTTAAACACACGACAAAACAACAAAGGAAACGTGAAGTCCAAGGTAGAACACACAACATACCTTACAAGGAACAAGATCCCACCACTAGACAGTGCCAATAGGCTGCTAAAGTATGGTCCCCAATCAGAGACAACGAGCGACAGCTGCCTCTGATTGGGAACCACACCGGCCAACATAGAACTAGACATACGAGATCCTCATACATAGAACAAGCACAACAAGGAATATACACACCCTGACTCAACATATAAGCGTCCCCTGAGTCAGGGCGTGACAGATAACCACTTTACAATATTATTATTTTTTATTTTTATTTTTTGGGGGGTGGGGTAAGGGTGGGTAGAAGGATTACTTTATCCTATCCCAGGTATTCCTTAAAGAGGTGGGGTTTCAAGTGTCTCCGGAAGGTGGTGAGTGACTCCGCTGTCCTGGCGTCGTGAGGGAGCTTGTTCCACCATTGGGGTGCCAGAGCAGCGAACAGTTTTGGAGCGGGGTGACGTGAGAGAACTTGGGAAGGTTGAACACCTGTGGCATTCTGGATTAGTTGTAGAGGTTTAATGGCACAGGCAGGGAGCCCAGCCAACAGCGAGTTGCAGTAACCAGACGGTTACAGTTACACCAGCTCTGTCAGGAGGAATGGGCCAAAATTCACCCAACTTATTGTGGGAAGCTTGTGGAATGCTACCCGAAATGTTTGACCCAAGTGAAACAATTTAAAGGCAATGCTACCAAATACTAATTGAGTGTATGTAAACTTCTGACCCACTGGGAATGTGATGAAAGAAATAAAAGCTGGAATAAATAATTCTCTCTACTATTCTGACATTTCACATTCTTAAAATTAAAATTTACATTTACATTTTAGTCATTTAGCAGACGCTCTTATCCAGAGAATGAATGTGAGTGAATGCATACGTTATTATTATTATTTATTTTTTCATACTGGCCCCCCGTGGGAATCGAACCCACAACCCTGGCGTTGCAAAATAAAGTGGTGATCCTAACTGACCTAAGACAGGTAATGTTTACTAGGTTTAAATGTCAGGAATTGTGAAAAACTGAGTTTACATGTATTTGGCTAAGGTGTATGTAAACTTCCGACTTCAACTGTATGTCTATTAGCGCCAATGCCCTGTAGCATTGTGGATCCCTATTCTTCATTGTACACTGACTTCCTGACTCTTTTCTTCCTGCAGTGTTCCGACGTTCCATGAACTACCGGAGGAGATTCTAAGCAAGCTAGCTGATGTCCTTGAGGAGGTAGGTCCTCTGTTGAAAGCCAGTTACATACACAAATGTGTTCGCCAAGGATACACATTTCTATGGAAACAAAAGTGCATGGAGAATGGATGCCTACGGGTTGGGGATGACATTCTTGCTATGCTGAAGGCAGAGGAGGTTTGAGATTTCTGAGCAGCTGGGTATGGTGTTGATATACTTGTATGTGATGTGACAACACATACAATTGAAATCTAATTGAAATTGTTGAAGGAATCTCACCGGTCAAAGACGTCAGATCACCACTTTTTGCCCAGAGGAATGTAAATATTGTACCTGTTCTCTGGCTTTATATTTTTTGTTCATGTTTCCTCTCTGAATTATTTCAGACTTCTGGTGGTTTTGTTTAAGGTTATATGTTTTCTTTTGACATCGCAATAGCAATTATTTTTTTAGCACTACCCTTCTGAGCTCCATTTATACTATTTGTTATCCTTTTTCCTTTGATATATTCTCCAGTTTTACTTTGGCTGCTTTTTACATGTATTTTGTGCTGCATGCTTTTAGAAGCCTGTTCCATTTCTCTCTCTCTGTGTGTGTGTGTTCAGATAATGACCAGGAAGAGGTCCCAATTTCGGCCATAAAGTGTTCACTTCACAAGGACAGAAAAATCTTTTAATTATGCTAAACTATGAAAATCTATGCACTCTCTACACTCTCTACAACTTAAGGCTTTTCCTATTCCATTTTGTTTCTTTCAACATAAATATTTACCTCTCTTTCATGAGAATGAATACATGACACAAAGTCATTAAAGTTCATTTTAAAGCTAAAATAATTTCTCTGCATGCTATTCCATTTGTGTAAATTGCCTGCCATGCCGTAGAAAACAGAGAACCATCCTGACTGCAGTGGTAAAATGAATCAATGGGTTTAAAAAAGAACAGACCATCTGACCAATGTTTGGGACATACACTGTCTGCCAAACACAAACCTAAATAACATGTTAACACCATGTTTGTGAGAGCCCCTCTGTGTCATTCAATACTCTGTTGTATTCACCATAGTACTGTTCATTCTAATGTAAATCAGGTGCTGTCTTATTGATATGTCTGAGACAAACTGAGACATACTGTGCATTTGGAAAGTATTCAGACCCCTTCCCATTTTACACATTTTGTTACTTTACAGCCTTATTCTAAAATGTATTAAATAATTTTTCCCCCTCAACAATCTACACACCCCATATACCCCATAATGACAAAGAAAAAACAGGTTTTTAGACATTTTTGCAAATGTATTAAAAATATAAAACAGAAAAGCCTTATTTACATAAGTATTCAGACCCTTTGCTATGAGACTCGAAATTGAGCTCAGATGCATCCTGTTTCCATTGATCATCCTTGAGATGTTTCTACAACTTGATTGGAGTCCATCTGTGGTAAATTAAATTGATTGGACATGATTTGTAAAGGCACACACCTGTCTATATAAGGTCCCACAATTGACAGTGCATGTCAGAGCATAAATCTAGCTATGAGGTCGAAGGAATTGTCCATAGAGCTCCGAGACAAGATTGTGTTCAGGCACAGATCTGGGGAAGGGTACCAAAAAATATCTGCAGCATTGCAGGTCCCCAAGAACACAGTGGCCTCCATCATTCTTGAATGGAAGAACTTTGTCACCACCAAGACTCTTCCTAGAGCTTGCCGCCTGGCCAAACTGAGCAATCAGGGGAGAAGGGCGTTGGTCAGGGAGGTGATGGTCACTCTGACAGAACTCCAGAGTTCCTCTGTGGAGATGGGAGAAACTTCCCGAAGGACACTCCATCAATCAGGCCGTTATGGTAGAGTGGCCAGACATAAGACACTCCTCAGTAAAAGGCACATGACAGCCCGCTTGGAATTTGCCAAAAGGCACCTAAAGACTCTCAGACCATGAGAAACAAGATTCTCTGGTCTGATGAAACCAAGATTGAGCTCCTTGGCCTGAATGACAAGTGTAACGTCTGGAGGAAACCTGGCACCATCCCTGTGGTGAAGCATGGTGGTGGCAGCATTATGCTGTGGGGATGTTTTTCAGCGGCAGGGACTGGGAGACTAATCAGGTTTGAGGGAAAGATGAACAGAGCAAAGCAAGAGATCCTTGATGAAAACCTGCTCCAAAGCACTCAGGACCTCAGACTGGGGCGACGGTTCACCTTCCAACAGGACAACGACCCTAAGCCAATACAATGCAGGAGTGGTTCGGGACAAGTCTCTGAATGTCCTTGAGTGGTCCAGCCAGAGCCCGGACTTGAACCCGATCAAACATCTCTGGAGAGAACTGAAAATAGCTGTGCAGCAACGCTCCCCATCCAACCTGACAGAGCTTGAGAGGATCTGCGGAGAAGAATGGGAGAAACTCCCCAAATACAGGTGTGCCAAGCATGTAGCGTCATACCCAAGAAGACTCGAGGCTGTAATCGCTGCCAAAGATGCTTCAACAAAGTACTGAGTAAAGGGTCTGAATACTTATGTAAAGGTGATATTTAAGTTGTTGCTTTTTTTTACACATTTGCTAAAATTTCTAGAAACCTGTTTCTGCTTTATCGTTATGGGGTATTGTGTCTAGATGATTGAGGAAAAAAACACACATATCTAACCCTTGTTGATAACAGGCATATTGGGGTAGATCGCTAGAACACCACCCAGGATTTGACTGCTAGGCTGAACAACAGGAAGACAATGTAACCTCTCTCCATGTTTTGACGTTGGATGACCATAATATACAAAGGTCAGCATCTGTTTCTATGGCCAGTGTGTTTAGTTGGTCTGGTGTGGCACATTGGTCACAGTGTATTGATCGGCTGAGCCCTCTACAAGCTAAATGTCACACAGCTTTGTCTTACAAAGGCCAGATACTCACTCTCACATGCCACATCCAACCATCTTTGCCTATATAAATGGCAGTGTTGCACGTAATCCTGTCTTTACAGGTTAACACACCTACCTGTGTGTGTGTGTATGAGGTTCAAGGAGAGGCTTTCAAATCAAGAGAAAACACAGGAAATGAGAGCGTGAAGAATAGGGAGCGTGCATGCGTGCGTGCGCGTGCGTGCACATGCACCTATGTGCTTATGTGTGAATGTGTTTGTGCTTTCAAAGGCGTGACGTTGTCAGGTGTCAGAAGAGGCTTGGATTGTTGCTTCAGGGGACTCTGCACCCCAAGGAAACGTGTCTAAGGTGTCTCACCCTGGGGTGAAGGGGTATTAGACAGAGGTGTCTGGGTGACTCATCCTTCTCATTTATCCTCTCCTCTCTGGTTCCAGACACACTATGAGGATGGAGAGTACATCGTCAGACAGGGAGCCACAGGAGACACCTTCTTCATCGTCAGTAAGGGAATGGTGAGACCCTCATCATCATCAACATTATTGATAAAGGGCTCTCAGCCAGACATGTTACCTTCTGTCCTAGCCAGGGAGCCAAATAAGTTCAATGACTCACCCCATTCAAATTATCAAGATGTACAGTATCTATCTGTCTCAACTAGTGGAACAAACATCTCTCATCTCTCCCTCTCTCTCCCTGCCTTTACCCTTCCCTGTCCACATTCCTCTCTCCTTCTCTTTCTCAATCCCTCTGTTTCTTTTCCTGGGTCTTCCTTTCCCTTTATGTCCTCTAGATCATATTAAAAGTTGAATTATTGCTCTGTCCCTCAGATTAGCTATGTATTTCTGGTGAACGTGATGTCATACCGCAATATAACCTTCTAATGAATGAAGATGGAAGCCTTAATTAAGTCAAATGACCTTCTATATATCTTCACTTTGGCCAGTTCTGCTGGACCTCCATCGCTCAGTTGTCAGCTAGCTAATGACCTGGTCAGTGGTTCCTCACAGACCATAGCACCAAGATGTCCATCAAATATGTACAAAGATTTAGCATGCACAGATATGTCCATCACCCCTGCTCTGCATTAATCTCACTTTGATGTTGAATAATGTAGTGATTAGTCAATCATACAGTTACAGAAATATCCATTACAGAAGGGTTTGAGGTACTTACAGTGCAGCACATGGTCCCATAGGTCCCTTCTCTCAGAATGTATAATTGCTCACTCCCCCCTCATGGATTTAAAGTGGCACCCCCACCCCTTTGTCCAGGTGAATGTGACCAGGGAAGACAAGCCCAGCGGGGATCCTGTCTACCTCCACAGCATGGGGAAAGGAGACTGGTTTGGAGAGAAGGCCCTGCAAGGGTAAGACTGATAACCCCTCTACCCACACTTCTAACTCCCACTCCTTGCCTCTCTCTCTCTAGGAAGGTGCTCTGTAGCAATGGATGATAAGAGCTACATGATATCAGAATTGTGACCAGAATGTCTGTTATGTGCATACCCCCAATAAACCACATGCGTCACAATGCCTGAGTGATCTCCCCCCTGACACATTGTGAAGTACCTTGAGAACCGGGCAAGTGTTGTATAAATCCAAGCATCGTTATCATTGTCCACAAATGTATTGGGTACAGCCATACTTACTTCACTGTATTTATGTGTACATTTACATTTTAGTCATTTAGCAGACGCTCTTATCCAGAGCGACTTACAGGAGCAATTAGGGTTAAGTGCCTTGCTCAAGGGCACATCGACAGATTTTTCACCAAGTCGGCTCGGGGATTAGAACCAGTGATCTTTCGGTTTCTGGCACAATGCTTTTAACCACTTAGCTACCTGCTTAGGACCCCAACGTCTGACGTAGCTTTCTTTTCATTCCTTATTACCTCGTCTTGTTTGGTCAAACTCACAAAACTGACATTTGACCCCAAAATGCTCATGTGTGATGTTTCACGAAATGTCCTCTTGGATCACTGAGATTACGATCTGTACTTATCTATTTCATAATTATTATTATGTTTTTTTGATCATACAGTACATTATGCATTTTACCACAATTTCCACAAAATTATCATTACTGCAACAGTCCAAAAAAGTAATAAAGAAATCAATTTCTAATATGTTTTTTAACATTGCTCCTCTAATGAAAAGGCCTGAGTTAAACCTAATATTGAAAATACAAATATGTAAAATGAAAGTACAATTAAACCACACTTTTCCCCAATTAGAGCTTTTTAGCTGTTTCGGGAATGAGAAGGCCAAGTGAGGTAAAGGGGGTGTTTGGGAATAAAAACCTAATTCAACAGGCATATAAATAATAATATAATGCCATTTAGCAGACGCTTTTATCCAAGGCCACTTACAGTCATGTGTGTATACATTTTTACGTATGGGTGGTCCCGGGGATCGAACCCACTACCCTGGCGTTACAAGCGCCATGCTCTACCAATTGAGCTACAGAGGACCACAAAATAAACTTAACCTCTACTACTTCTCTAGATGATGCGTCATGGGTGAATAAAACTTTATAAAAACACTGATTTTAGTTTTTACAGGAACTTGAAAAAGTGTTACGGTAAGAGATGTCCACAGGCACTGTGTTTGTACATAATACATATTATAGTTTAATTTAAACTTCAACTAGTATACAATTATTATTATTTATGGACAAACTACAAAAACATATTGTGTTTTTCTAAAGTAAAACTGTATAAAATGACCCGAGAACATAATCCGGACACATTTCAGTAATGAGAATTTGAGGTGAAAATGTACAGAATTCAGGTGGAAGTGTAAAATGTATTTAAAATAAGACACTTTGCAAAAAACTAGACATCTTAGTCCTCAGAATGGTAGTTGGTTTTTGCAGATGGATCATGGTTTTGTAACTACATTTGCTACAGAAAATTTGCTGCACTTACATGCACACACACACACACAGGTGCACTGCACGTGAGTGGAAAAATAAGGGATGTAGCTAGCACCATCTTGTGGTGACTGAATGAGGAACAATCCCCATTGAGCTCTATTTACCTATGTGAAGCAAACAGTTACAATGCATATTGATGTATTGATCAGAAGTAATGCAGACAACCAATTACTGTTTAAGCAATTATTCACTGAGAAATCGCTACCCATTTGGAGTGAGAGATACAGTGGGGAAAAAAAGTATTTAGTCAGCCACCAATTGTGCAAGTTCTCCCACTTAAAACGATGAGAGAGGCCTGTAATTTTCATCATAGGTACACGTCAACAATGACAGACAAATTGAGAAAAGAAAATCCAGAAAATCACATTGTAGGATTTTTAATGAATTTATTTGCAAATTATGGTGGAAAATAAGTATTTGGTCACCTACAAACAAGCAAGATTTCTGGCTCTCACAGACCTGTAACTTCTTCTTTAAGAGGCTCCTCTGCCCTCCACTCGTTATCTGTATTAATGGCACCTGTTTGAACTTGTTATCAGTATAAAAGACACCTGTCCACAACCTCAAACAGTCACACTCCAAACTCCACTATGGCCAAGACCAAAGAGCTGTCAAAGGACACCAGAAACAAAATTGTAGACCTGCACCAGGCTGGGAAGACTGAATCTGCAATAGGTAAGCAGCTTGGTTTGAAGAAATCAACTGTGGGAGCAATTATTAGGAAATGGAAGACATACAAGACCACTGATAATCTCCCTCGATCTGGGGCTCCACGCAAGATCTCACCCCGTGGGGTCAAAATGATCACAAGAACGGTGAGCAAAAATCCCAGAACCACACAGGGGGACCTAGTGAATGACCTGCAGAGAGCTGGGACCAAAGTAACAAAGCCTACCATCAGTAACACACTACGCCGCCAGGGACTCAAATCCTGCAGTGCCAGACGTGTCCCCCTGCTTAAGCCAGTACATGTCCAGGCCTGTCTGAAGTTTGCTAGAGTGCATTTGGATGATCCAGAAGAGGATTGGGAGAATGTCATATGGTCAGATGAAACCAAAATATAACTTTTTGGTAAAAACTCAACTCGTCGTGTTTGGAGGACAAAGAATGCTGAGTTGCATCCAAAGAACACCATACCTACTGTGAAGCATGGTGGTGGAAACATCATGCTTTGGGGCTGTTTTTCTGCAAAGGGACCAGGACGACTGATCCGTGTAAAGGAAAGAATGAATGGGGCCATGTATCGTGAGATTTTGAATGAAAACCTCCTTCCATCAGCAAGGGCATTGAAGATGAAACGTGGCTGGGTCTTTCAGCATGACAATGATCCCAAACACACCGCCCGGGCAACGAAGGAGTGGCTTTGTAAGAAGCATTTCAAGCTCCTGGAGTGGCCTAGCCAGTTTCCAGATCTCAACCCCATAGAAAATCTTTGGAGGGAGTTGAAAGTCCGTGTTGCCCAGCGACAGCCCCAAAACATCACTGCTCTAGAGGAGATCTGCATGGAGGAATGGGCCAAAATACCAGCAACAGTGTGTGAAAACCTTGTGAAGACTTACAGAAAACGTTTGACCTGTGTCATTGCCAACAAAGGGTTTATAACAAAGTATTGAGAAACTTTTGTTATTGACCAAATACTTATTTTCCACCATAATTTGCAAATAAATTCATTAAAAATCCTACAATGTGATTTTCTGGAATTTTCTTTCTCTTTTTGTCTGTCATAGTTGACGTGTACCTATGATGAAAATAACAGGCCTCTTTCATCTTTTTAAGTGGGAGAACTTGCACAATTGGTGGCTGACTAAATACTTTTTTCCCCCACTGTATATTCCAATCTAGATCATCAGTTGCTTGTCATATTTCTCACACAAACAGTTATATAAGATCATTGTCTGATATTAATACAGCATATTTAAGGTGGTAAATATATGGAAAATGCAGTGTTGCAACATGAGTACAGTATGGTCTATTCCTTATCTGAAGCTAATGAACATAAGAGTTGAAAGATGACATCATTAAAATGTATGTGGGACATATGGGAAAGGGCTACTGTAGCTCTGCTGCCATTAAAAGACAATATATGAAACAGATATAAGAAATAAACTGTCCCACATTTCACAGTAATGAGTGAAAAATTCCTTTGTGAAATGAGAGTATTTGAGTCATATTAATCCAACTCTTCTGATGGTCATACTAATGCTACCGTAGATTGGACTGACCCATTTGATTGTAATAGGATTCATAGCTTTTCCCAGAAGAAGAATCTGTACAAATTTCTGTTTAAAATAATGTGTCATAGCGACACTTCCAGAAATATATTTTATGGAGTTTAGAATGTCTGTTTGCTGTAAATAACTCTAAGATACAGGGAAAAGCTTTTTCAAAAGCACATGTATTTTCTCTATCCCTTGTATTCTCCCTAAGGACATCTAAGAAGCATGTATGTATCCTCAGAAGGACACAGTGTCCACTTATTATTGTAACCATTTACCAACAAGTCTTTGTCTTGGGGCGTCTTGAGCAAAGCAGTCCACTCAACGTTTGCTTTGATGGTCAAGCATGTATCTCAAATTGAAATTAAGATCACAGCTTTTTCAATGTATGCTTTTGATCAGGGGGCTTCAAGCTAGGCTTTTAATCAGAAGTTAATGGTGTGTGTCGATGCTTATGAAACTCAATATCTGTGTGATAAAGGGAACTCTACATTTCAAGACACTGACTTTGATCTTTTGCTACAATATTTGCAAATCACAGTCTGTTCTCTTAGCAGTGATACTGGAGTGTGTGTGTGTGTGTGTGTGTGTGTGTGTGTGTGTGTGTGTGTGTGTGCGCCTGCGCATGTGTTTTCATGCGTGTGTATTTGCGGAAAACAGAAATTGTTCCACTCTCCTCTTAGGTTATAGTATATCACGTACACAAATCTTGTTGGTAGTTCTAGGAACAGAGGTACCTCAAAACATAGTTGTTGTCCCCGATAGGGCAGCATAGTATCTGATTTCACATTCTTGTATGAGCTCCCATTTGAGGTGTAGATCCATCAACAGTTCAGACGATGTGTGCTATGCTTCGGGTAGAGAGTGTGTGTGTGTGTGTTTGTGTGTGTGCGTTCATGTGTGTGGGTTGATAGGAGGGTCAGGAGAGGATGAGAACTTATTTAAAGAGTGTGACATCATTGACAGAGAAGGGAACAATGTGATTGGTGCTGGTCTCAGGCCCCACCCCAGCCTGTATTTTCATAACCCCTCCTTGGGACACCAGATCACCATCCAATTACCAGTTGAATTCAAACACTCGACTGGAAGTGAACACCGCTGGCCGGCTCTCTGCTGTGCTGTTCTAAAGGACATTTCAGACACATGTACATCTCTCTCTCTCTCTCTCTCTCTCTCTCTCTCTCTCTCTCTCTCTCTCTCTCTCCGTCTCTCTCTCTCCGT